GAGTTTTGTTTTGTTTCACCTCGGGCAGTATCGCCATCAGCAGGGTTTTGTTTGTTGTTAAACCAGACTGAACGTCACTTTGCTGTCATCTGCCCAAAAGATGTCTACGACTTGTTTGTGTGTGATATCGAGGACTATTTAAAGCACGGGAAATGACACAGAGCGTTTTTTTTTTTTGTTTTTGTTTTTTTTAAATCTTTTTGTTTTTTGAGGAGCTCCGACTTGTTTTAATTCTGCATATGTTATGAGTTTGTCATTTTTGTTAATCTCATAATGATCTGTACAGCTTTCCTCTGTGCACTTGGTCAAGACTTCTCCCGTCACAGATTTTCAAACAAAATGATTTTAAAAGGGGAAAGCAGCAGCCCAAATCTGACAAAACTGTAAACCTTCTCAAGCTTTCACTGCTTCTAATCACCAGTTTTACTTTTTAAGTGAATTAAATGACTTTGTGTGTCAATATGCAGGGGTTACAGCTAAAATGCTTTATGAGTGGGAATATGAGAATATTTTAAATGCTCAAACACTTTTCAGTATAGAAAATGTTTGTGCAGAAAAGGTTTCCCCATAAAGAACTTGAAGTGCGCGTCCTTCCTGCCATTATGACCTTTTAATGACTTTGTTCTTAGAAATGAGCACGTCCCCTCCGACTTCATCTGAAAGTCCATCTTTTGTCTTTTAAATCTAATTGTAGCCACAAGGAGAAAACAACCTCAATGTGTTTTTCAGTGTACAAAATGTACTACAGGAAACAGACGATCTAGGAAGTCAATGCTATGCTGCTGCTTAACATTCCTGTGATTGACTAGGAACCTGACCCTGCTGTATATCTGTGACCTTTTTAATCACGGAAATCTACTTTCCCCCAGCTGGGCATGTTTTCGAGGAACTGACCCAGAACACGTGCACAGGGAAAGAGCTGACTGTAACTTTAAATCACTAATTGTGACCTTTTAAAGTTAACCAGGGTTTTACTTTTAGAGATATTTGAGCAATGTTTGTTCCAGCCGCCTAAATCCTAGACACAGTCCACACAGATCAGTACCAGGGAGATAACACTACCAGCTGTTATCTCAGGTGCAGTTTGAGGTGTTGCATCCTGAAAAAAAAATAAAAAATACACACACACACACACCCACCTACCTTTTGTTGGAGTGTAAAAGGGTTTTTTCATTCCTTTTTGCTCAGTCCCATCTCCCTGTTCTTCAGTTAGAAATATGTGGTTGGCGGCGACCGTTATCAAACTAACCAGACAGATGTGGCTTAATTTGGTTCACAGCTGTGACAATCTCTGCTTACTTATGCACATGTGATCAGGACCTCACATAAAAAAACTCTGGAAACATGAGAAGTGTCAGATTTATTTATTTATTTGGGGGGGGCGGCAGCTCAAAGTAAGCTGGATGTGACAAAGGATCTTATGGTAACTGGTAGATGTTTTGGTAACCCTAGTCAAACCATTTATTGATTTTTATTTATTTGGACTCTGTCCCTCTATTCCTTCTGTAAGTGTTCTCTTATGATTTTTATCAAATGTATTTTAAATGTATTAATCTTATTCTAATCAGTATGATTGATGAAAATAAAGGACAATGTTGTAATTTTTACTTTAACATGATTAGGCAGTGCTGTGTCATGTCTAAATGTGATGCTGCTGCATAGCTTTGGCTCTCATTACTGGAGGACATTGATAATGGCAGAATCAGAAAATCAAAATTAAAACATTAAAAGGTAGATAAAAAAATAAAAAAATATTTTCGTCACTTGCACTAAAATAAGCAATTTCAGCAACACTACACAAACAATCTTGTATTTACAAGAAAGTCACCTTTGAGTAGATGTGTCCATTTTATTCCTGCTGGTAATTGTCTGCCCCATGTTAAATATTATCATGTGTATATACCTGGAAATATTGCCATGCATTACAAATTCTGAAAACTTTTCTTTCCCCTGACTTAGATGTTAAAGGTAAGCTTTAGAGCTTTTTCCTCCAGGGAGGATTGAAGTGCTTGTTAAATGTCACAATGTCTATTTTGTTATTGCGCTGCTGCAGAGTTTCACCACCAGATGTCGCTAGATTCTGTAAAATTGGCTCATTCGGTTAATCTCCATCTTCTTCTCCCTCCAGCTGAGCGGTTGCCTCATCCTAGCCGTCTCCATCTACCTGAGAGTCAGCAAGGGTGGAAACCAGGTGAGTCAGTGATGGACTTTAAAGAGACTGCAGTATTGCATAGATGAGCACAAAAGTGCATGTTCTAAGGCTTTGTGCAGGCAATAGTGTAGTATAGTGGTGTCACAGTGGGTCTCTTCAATGGATTCCAGATGATGTGTGGACCTCTCATACAAGAATAAGTCTTTACTGTATTTATATCATCTGTGGTAACACTCAAAAGGTGACTTTGTTTCATTCTTCAGGGAGAATATGTGGTAAATAAAACTTACTGTGATTCCAGCTTTGCCTTCAGAGCTTTATGTATCGCATCAGAGCTACTCTCATGCTCAGCAACCAGGACCAGTCATCTGAAACGTGCACTCACTTCACATTGCCTTTATCCTTGTGTATTTTTCCATCTGTCACTCAGACATTCATCACATTTTCTCTGATCACACGTAAACTATTCCATAAAGACAAACTTCAACATCCTCTCTAACACATATAGGTGTTTTTAAAACTTTAGATCAACCTTTGACTTTGCCTTTGACTTCCACCTCATCTGTCCACAGATCACCGATCAGTACTTCCCTGCAGTCAACCTGATGATTGCCATCGGCACGATCATCATGGTTCTCGGCTTCCTGGGCTGCTGTGGAGCCTACAGAGAGAGCCGCTGCATGTTGCTGCTGGTGAGCATCACATTTTGATTATTTTGGGAATGTTTTTGGAGGGAGGCGAAGCAAATCACATTACTTAGTTAATGAAACCTACACTGAGGGATTGTACCGACACACATACCTGATGTTCAGTAACTGAAACTTTTGCCAACTGCTGGTGGGTTTCTATCTATGTTGAAGTTATTTCAGCTAAGTTGTAAGATTAAAAAACTGAAATATGTTGGTTTGTTACTATGACACAAATGTTTTTGTCGATTAAAAAGATGTGTGAACTTTAGGTGGACAGAACACACATTTTGCTTAACTTTTCGCCTCAGCAAGTCTTACAAAAATTGTTGATCTATATCATGTGTGTTCCCTCAGTTCTTCATCTTCCTTCTCATCATCTTCATCCTCCTGGTGGCAGCAGGCATCGCAGGAGCTGTGAGCCAGAATAAGGTAAAAATAGCGACTATGTGACTACTTAATTTTATTTTTGATGAGGCTCAAACGTCAAGTTGCGTTTCTGTTTGCAGATGGAAGACTGGGTGAACAAGCAGTTGAAAGATATGTTGCCACTTGCAAAACAACCTGACACGGTGAAAAGTGACCTGAAGAATCTGCAGAAAGATGTAACTAACACACACAGTTTTTCTTCAGTAATACAGAAAGACTTTCCTAGACGCAGTCAATCAGATACACAAGTTAACCTAAATCTTGAAACACACTTGTGGTATTTGAATGTGCTGGTATTATACAGGGTATCTCATTGTATTTACATTTCCTGAAGCCCAACATGTAACCCAAAAATGAATAACCAGTTGCCTGCTGCTCACACATGACCAGGGGGAATAAACTAAAATGCTGGGACATCAAATTTAAGATGAACTGCGCCTGAATACAGATCTACACGTCATGAGATTGACTGTGCATACTGCACACATCCACCAGAGGGCACTGTGCATTCAACTGCCTGCAAGTCTGTCAGTGGTATGATGCAATGTAAATACATGGTGACAAATGTCAGTTTCCCAACCCTGAGGCATCTCTATGAGGTCTTGAACATCCCACGGAGCACTATTCAAGTGATCATTCAGAAATGGAAGGAGTATGGCACAACTGTAAACCTACCAAGACAAGGCCGTCCACCTAAACTCACAGGCCGAACAAGGAAAGCGCTGATCAGAAATGCAGCCAAGAGGCCCATGGTGACTCTGGATGAGCTGCAGAGATCTACAGCTCAGATGGGGGAATCTGTCCATAGGACAACTATTAGTCGTGCACTGCACAAAGTTGGCCTTTATGGAAGAGTGGCAAGAAGAAAGCCATTGTTAACAGAAAACCATAAGAAGTCCCGTTTGCAGTTTACCACAAGCCATGTGGGGACACGGCAAACATGTGGAAGAAGGTGCTCTGGTCAGATGAGACCAAAATGCAAAATGCGTGTGGCGGAAAACTAACACTGCACATCACTCTGAACACACCATCCCCACTGTCATATATGGTGGTGGCAGCATCATGCTCTGGGGGTGCTTCTCTTCAGCAGGGACAGGGAAGCTGGTCAGAGTTGATGGGAAGATGGATGGAGCCAAAAAAAGGGCAATCTTGGGAGAAAACCTCTTGGAGTCTGCAAAAGACTTGAGACTGACCCTAAACATAAAGCCAGGGCAACAATGGAATGGTTTAAAACAAAACATATCCATGTGTTAGAATGGCCCAGTCAAAGTCCAGATCTAAATCCAATCGAGAATCTGTGGCAAGATCTGAAAACTGCTGTTCACAAACGCTGTCCATCTAATCTGACTGAGCTGGAGCTGTTTTACAAAGAAGAATGGGCAAAGATTTCAGTCTCTACATGTGCAAAGCTGGTAGAGACATACCCTAAAAGACTGGCAGCTGTAATTGCAGCAAAAGGTGGTTCTAGTATTGACTCAGGGGGCTGAATAATTACGCACACCCTACTTTTCAGTTATTTATTTGTAAAAAATGTTTGGACTCATGTATGATTTTTGTTCCACTTCTCACGTGTACACCACTTTGTATTGGTCTTTCACGTGGAATTCCAATAAAATAGATTCATGTTTGTGGCTGTAATGTGACAAAATGTGGAAAAGATCAAGGGGGCCAAATACTTTTGGAAAGCCTCTGTATTGTGACAGGCTGAACAGCAATAAGGGCTTTACTAGAACTATTACACTAGTTCCAATCCTATTTGTATTTTCTTCCCAGCTCAAGTGTTGTGGTCTTGTGAACGGAAAGACAGACTGGTCTCCAGATCCATTCCCAGAATCCTGTCGCTGCAACGTCACCAACAGTCCCACCCCTGTCCCCGGTGCTGAGTGTGGCTCAGAAGGTTACTACAGCACGGTAAGGCTGTGACTGCTGAACACTGGATTGAGCATCCCAGCAGGAATCTGATTTCACTTTATATCTGAACAAGAAATCCACACTCTTACTTTACTCTCATCGCTGAGACACAGTTAAATGAACCATAATAACCCACGCTGCTCTGCTCTCACCCTGCAGCCCTGCTCCACCCGAATCGTCAACCTGATGAAGGAGAATATGGTGATAGTGCTGGGAATTGCCTTCGGCATCGCCGTCCTGCTGGTGAGCTGACACATACAGTCACCACATCACTTCAGGGGACATTTGAGTTCACTCGATAAAAAGTCATACTCTAATTTTTAAGTTTTTTTTTTTCTCTTGATAGAAAAATTGTAGAACATGCAAAAAGCAGATTAATTAATTAATTGGCATTAAGTCAATTTTATTTATATAGCGCCAAATCACAAAAACAGTTGCCTGGGGGTGCCTGATTCCTCTTGTAGAACCAGGTTTAGGGAGCGCCAGCTGTCTGCTGCGACCAGCTGGGGGTGAGGGGAAGGGGATGGGGCAAAAGACCCGCCATGTGGAAGAGACCCAAAGATTAACAATGACCATTTTTATATTTTCTTTTGTCTTATTTTATTAAAGTTTTAATAATGAGTCATTTGTTGTTCCTGCAGATTTTCGGCTTGGCTTTCTCCATGGCTCTCTACTGTCAGATCAGCAAGAAGGACGGACCTACCACCAACGCCTGAGGCACCATCATCTCTGCCCAAATGTAACCACAATATATCCTCTGCTAATCTAACTCATCCTGTGCTTTCACTGTGAAGAAGCGCACTGAGATTAAAGCCTCTTATACACTAGTATGGAGTCCCAATGGTTACCAAAAAATAAACTCTATATAATCTGTATTTTGTGTAAAAGGCATTATGTTACCTGAAATGATAAAATAGTTTGTGTCTGAGAAGCGGGCAGCTTTAGAAATTACCCAGTAAATGCAAAGTAAATAACTGTAATATAATTAACTGGTGTTGATTTAGAATTTCCCAAACCTTTAACTGTTATGAGTATGTTGGTTATGATTTGATTGTGTATTTGACGATGTACGGAAGCCAATTTAAGCCAAAAATATTTAGTCAATAGCCAAGTTGGTGCACAAAATAAAAATTAGTTTCTCATGTTCTCTTAAAAGTGACTTTTTTGCTTGTTTGTCACGTTTCCTTTTTTTTTTTT